CCCCCCCCCGGGGAAGCGTTGTTGTTGGTGTTGCGTAGCCCCTCGGCCCAGGGCTCGGCCCCGCCGCCGTCAGCCGGCTCCTCCATGGCACGGCCCGGCTCCGGCACCAGGCTCAGGCAGGCGGGCACCGGCATGCCGGCATCCCCCGGCACCCGTGGGGCACGGAGTGGGTCTGGGGGGGGACATAAGGGTGTGGTGAGGGGCTGCGGTCACCCCCCAAGCTCCAGGCAGCGCTTGGGGACGAGAGGGGTTCAAATCCCCCACCATGGACAGCCCCCCGGGGGTTGACCTGATGGCCAGACACTCCAGACAGGGGGGTGCCAGTGCCCCCCACCCCCTAAAAACCCCTGGACCGGATCCTGGCACAGCCCAACGAGGCCTCCCACCCACCTCAAAAATTGGCGGTTCACCCCCACCCTGCCTTACCCCAGAGCCGGGCGATGCCCCCCAGCCACCGGTGGCTATGGTCCCCAAAAGAGGAGGTGGCCCGGTGGGACCAGCACCACGGCAGTGCCCAAGCCCCCACCCGGCTGGCACCCCCCGTGCCGGGGTGGTGTGTCACCGGTGTGCCCGTGGGGACACCTTCCCAGTGAGCTCAGCCACAGATCACCCTTCTGGACCTATGGTGCCACCCTCTGCTCCCACAGTCCTCCTGGTGCCACCAAAACCACTCGGTGCCACCCAAACCACTCGGTGCCACCAACGCCATTGGATACCCCCTGTGCCAGGACCCAGGACCGTGCGTCACTGGTGCACCTGCAGGGACACCCTCCTGGTGAGCTCAGCCACAGCTCACCCTTCCGGACCTATGGTGCCAACCGCTGCTCCAGGGATCCTCCTGGTGCCACCAAAACCACTCAGTGCCACCAAAACCTCTCAGTGCCACCAACACAGTTGAGCACCCCCTGTGCCGGGGTGGTGTGTCACCAGTGTGCCCGTGGGGACACCTTCCCGGTGAGCTCAGCACTGGCTCACCCTTCTGGACCTACAGTGCCAACTGCTGTTCCAGGGATCCTCCTGGTGCCACCAAAACCACTCAGTGCCACCAAAACCTCTCAGTGCCACCAACACAGTTGAGCACCCCCTGTGCCGGGGTGGTGTGTCACCAGTGTGCCCGTGGGGACACCTTCCCGGTGAGCTCAGCACTGGCTCACCCTTCTGGACCTACAGTGCCAACTGCTGTTCCAGGGATCCTCCTGGTGCCACCAAAACCGCTCGGTGCCACCAACACGGTTGGGCACCCCCCGTGCCAGGACTGTGCGTCACTGGTGCACTTGCGGGGACACCTTCCCGGTGAGCTCAGCACCGGCTCACCCTTCCGGACCTACGGTGCCACCCGTTTGTCACCGGTGTGCCCATGGGGACACCTTCCCGGTGAGCTCAGCACCGGCTCACCCTTCCGGACCTACGGTGCCAACCACTGCTCCAGGGATCCTCCTGGTGCCACCAAAACCACTCGGTGCCACCCAAACCACTCGGTGCCACCAACGCCATTGGATACCCCCTGTGCCAGGACCCAGGACCGTGCGTCACTGGTGCACCTGCAGGGACACCCTCCTGGTGAGCTCAGCCACAGCTCACCCTTCCGGACCTATGGTGCCAACCGCTGCTCCAGGGATCCTCCTGGTGCCACCAAAACCACTCAGTGCCACCAAAACCTCTCAGTGCCACCAACACAGTTGAGCACCCCCTGTGCCGGGGTGGTGTGTCACCAGTGTGCCCGTGGGGACACCTTCCCGGTGAGCTCAGCACCGGCTCACCCTTCCGGACCTACGGTGCCAACCACTGCTCCAGGGATCCTCCTGGTGCCACCAAAACCACTCGGTGCCACAAAAACCACTCGGTGCCACCCAAACCTCTCGGTGCCACCAACACGGTTGAGCACCCCCTGTGCCAGGACCGTGCGTCACCGGTGCACCCACGGGGACACCTTCCCGGTGAGCTCAGCACTGGCTCACCCTTCTGGACCTACAGTGCCAACTGCTGTTCCAGGGATCCTCCTGGTGCCACCAAAACCACTCAGTGCCACCCAAACCTCTCAGTGCCACCAACACGGTTGAGCACCCCCTGTGCCAGGACCGTGTGTCACCGGTGTGCCCATGGGGACACCTTCCCGGTGAGCTCAGCACCGGCTCACCCTTCCGGACCTACGGTGCCACCCGCTGCTCCAGGGATCCTCCTGGTGCCACCAAAACCGCTCGGTGCCACCAACACGGTTGGGCACCCCCCGTGCCAGGACTGTGCGTCACTGGTGCACTTGCGGGGACACCTTCCCGGTGAGCTCAGCACCGGCTCACCCTTCCGGACCTACGGTGCCACCCGTTGCTCCGGAGGTGCCACCCACACCTCTTGGTGCCACCCAAACCTCCCGGTGCCACCCAAACCTCCCGGTGCCACCGACCCGTGTTGGGGGCACCCAAAATCCCCAGCGGCGATGGCAAGGGGTTGACCCCCGTGATTTTTTGGCAGGAGGGGAGGGTTTGTGGCGGGGGCACAGAGCCCGCTCGCCCCCGGGCAAGCGGGCGAGTGGCCCTGGGGACAGTGACCTTCAGCCGGGCCACGTGCGGGTGGCGGGGGCCGCCCCAGTGCCCCAAAAACCACTCGGTGCCACCCAAACCTCTCGGTGCCACCAACACGGTTGAGCACCCCCTGTGCCAGGACCGTGCGTCACCGGTGCACCCACGGGGACACCTTCCCGGTGAGCTCAGCACTGGCTCACCCTTCTGGACCTACAGTGCCAACTGCTGTTCCAGGGATCCTCCTGGTGCCACCAAAACCACTCAGTGCCACCCAAACCTCTCAGTGCCACCAACACGGTTGAGCACCCCCTGTGCCAGGACCGTGTGTCACCGGTGTGCCCATGGGGACACCTTCCCGGTGAGCTCAGCACCGGCTCACCCTTCCGGACCTACGGTGCCACCCGCTGCTCCAGGGATCCTCCTGGTGCCACCAAAACCGCTCGGTGCCACCAACACGGTTGGGCACCCCCCGTGCCAGGACTGTGCGTCACTGGTGCACTTGCGGGGACACCTTCCCGGTGAGCTCAGCACCGGCTCACCCTTCCGGACCTACGGTGCCACCCGTTGCTCCGGAGGTGCCACCCACACCTCTTGGTGCCACCCAAACCTCCCGGTGCCACCCAAACCTCCCGGTGCCACCGACCCGTGTTGGGGGCACCCAAAATCCCCAGCGGCGATGGCAAGGGGTTGACCCCCGTGATTTTTTGGCAGGAGGGGAGGGTTTGTGGCGGGGGCACAGAGCCCGCTCGCCCCCGGGCAAGCGGGCGAGTGGCCCTGGGGACAGTGACCTTCAGCCGGGCCACGTGCGGGTGGCGGGGGCCGCCCCAGTGCCCCCCGGCAGCGGGTTGCCGTTAAAGGGGGGGGGGTTGAGCACCCCCTGTGCCAGGACCGTGCGTCACCGGTGCACCCACGGGGACACCTTCCCGGTGAGCTCAGCACTCCCCACAGCCACCCCATGCCAGGGCCATGGGGGCCGGGAGACCCCCATCCTCACCCATAACCAGCAAGAGGGGACACCCTGGTGACATTGTTGGGGGGGCAGAGAGGGGTACAGCTCACCCCCTGCCCAGATTTGGGGGGGGGACGGACAGGACACAGCGTCCCGGTGCCCATGGGGGGTCCCCCACGTGATGCCCGACCCCCTGCCCAGATTTG